AACTTTTTAGGGATGTTGTCAAATTTAAGAAAACTCCTATCCAACTTATTTCATATGATGTAAAATTTGGAAGAATTTTTCTACAGACCAAGTTTGAATACACATGTGAAACCCTGTTGCCCCTCCATCACCCAAAGCTTCCAGGGTCAGAGCACACTGGATACATTCATAGAGTGTGACACCATGTCTGGTGTGGATCTTCAAGTCTCTTAAGCAATTAAATTCGGATGTTGAGTTACAGAAGTTATCTCTAAGGCCATTCCTATGCCAGTATGGCTAGCAGTAATTTATGCAGAGTTGCTACAAACCACAAAAACATACGCCACAGTTTCTGGTCAAGGGTAGTGGTTACAGGGTGGCATTTGCTAGTAAAGAGGAGAGATTTACTTGGGTTATTGTATCTGTTTCATCCATGCAAAAGGGTGTAACCCAACTTCTACCCTTAAGAAATAAAGGAAGGAAGTTCAAAAGAATGGCATCTTCAATAGTCTCTGCAAACTTTAGAACCTGTAGACTGATTCCCATCTCTTTCTCAAAATAAAAATAAAATCCCAGTGGGTTTCTAGGAACACAGGGGAATTCTATTATTCTTATCAATCAACTAGGAGCAAAGAGAAGAGAGACAGTATCTTGGTGGGTTGCCCATCCCTCCCTTTTGTCTTGGAAAATTTAAAGCTTGAAAGATAAAGGTAATGGATATCACAAATTAGAAGTTCTACTTTGTGAAATTTTGATCACTTTATGTAAAACAAGCTCATCTAGACCCTATACTCCTCTGTTAGATGAAGGATACAATGAAGTCAAAATTCTACCAGCCAAGAGGGCTGTAGAGACCATCCTGAGACAGAACACCTTTCCCGAGGCCTGTGTGTGTGTGTGTGTGTGTGTGTGTGTGAGAGAGAGACAGACAGACAGACAGACAGACAGAGAGGGAGAAAGGAAGGAAAGAAGAGAGGAAGGAGATACAGAAATAAGAGCATAAATGGAAACCTAGCATTGCTAAATACCCTGGCAAAGAGAACCAAAAATACAAAAGATAAATTCAGTTTTTTTTTTCCAAGCACTGGTCTGAAAACGACCAATTAAAACCGTAAAATTTCCTTGTGGAATCATAATTTCCCTATTTTTTTTTTTTTTTGAAGGCAAGGGAATAAGGTATTTAAGGGAGAAGATGTTACAGTGTGCTGACCTTGGATCTAAAAACATGAGAGTCAGTGCAGAGAAAAATCTATTGACTGCTTAGCTGCTCCTGCCAGTCACCTGGATGAAGCCCAAATAAATTCACAGCCACTGAGCTAAAGAGGCCATATGGCTTGTAATTAGACTCACTCCCAGCCAAGATACTGAGACATTTATTACATTTACTATTCAGCATTCATCGCACTTTACTGCCCAGTAAAGGGGCACCAAGGAAGAGATTAAATTCATCCTTCCTCTTTTCACCAATCCCACTCAATCTCAATCCCCTTCCTAACCACCCCCCAATACAAAGGATCTGATTTCTAAAAATAATTTTTGGAAAATAACTGTGGTAACTAGTCCAAAGCCCATGGCTGATAAAGCCTCTGCTTGCAATGAGAAAAACTCAGGTTCGATCCCTGGGTCAGGAAGATCCCTGAGAGGGAATGGCCACCCACTCCAGTTCTTGCCTGGAGAATCCCATGAACACAGGAGCCTGGCTGACTATAGTCCACGGGGTTGCAAAGAGTAGGACATGACTGAGTAGCTGACACTTTCACTTTCTATATGAAAATATCAAGTAAGCATCACTAAGGCCTGGGCCTGGGGAGCAGGACAAGTAAGTCAGCGGAGAATACTGCCCTAGAAGCAGTTCAAAGTGGACCTAAGGCTTCTTCAAAGTTTGCCTGCTAAGGTTCAGTGAGCAAATTTACTTGACAGGTTTATCAAGATAGTCTTTCAACCACAAACATTTATTGAGCATTTTTTGCTAGGGGCTAGAGCAAAGAAAGATACCATCCCTGCGGTCTTAGACCTGACAGTCTAGCAGAGGAGATGGGAAGACAAACAATAAAGAAATAATCACACAATGAGCTAGTTAACTTAGAGGTACAGTAAGTCTGCCAGAGGAGAAGCGCGGGGGCTGTGACAGTGAACACTAGGGGGCCTGACCTGGATGCAGTGAGGACGGCTTCCCAGAGGGAATGACACTTACAGCTGAAAACTTTGAGGAGGAGGAGGAGTTAAGGGGTAGGAGATGATGGGGATGGAGAATCCTAGAAGAGAGGAATCCTTTTTTTTTTTAAGTATTTTATTTTGAAAATCTATTTATTTATTTGGCTGTAGGTCTTATAGTTGCAGCACGCAGGCTTAGTTGCCCCCAGGCAAGTGGGATCTTAGTTTCCCGCATCCCCTGCAATGGAAGGTGGATTCTTAGCTACTGGACCACCAAGGAAGTCCCAGAAGGGAGGAATCCTGATACTGGTACAGTGTCTGGCACACAATCTCCCTGTATCCTGTGGACAAGAGGGTAAATGGATCTCTAGATGCTGGGCAAGGCGGGGATAGTCATATTAGGCTGTTCTATTGAATAGTTTTTATCAAGAAATAGAATGAAGTAGAAGCTACGCAGACATCACATTTGCAAATAACCCCAAACTGGGCTACATCCAGACAAGGGTTCATACCATCAAAGCGAAATGTGATAGGCAGAAAACAGCTGGAATCCCGGAAAGTTTGCTAGACAAGAGCAAGAGCTGTAGGATTTAACTAAGAAGAGGGGAGAGGGAGTTGAGAGAAAACCCAGAAGGTTCTGGGGAAGAAAAGCAAAAAGGTGGTATCAGTCGCCCAGTCATGTCTGACTCTTTGCGACCCCATGAACTGTAGCCCACCAGGCTCCTCTGTCCATGGAATTCTCCAGGCAAGAATACTGGAGTGAGTAGCCATTCCCGTTTCCAGGGGATCTTCCCAACCCAGGGATCAAACCTGGAGGTGAAATATCATTCAACCTTAAAAAGGAATGAAGTGTTGAAAAATACTATAGGGTGAATGAACCCGGAAACATGCTAAGTGAAAGAAGCCAGATGCAAAAGGACAAATACAGTATAACCCCAACTACATGAAATATCCAGATAGGCAAATTCATAGAGGCAGAAAGCATATTGGTGATTGCCAGGGCCTGGGTTGTGGGGGTAGGGGAGAGGAGGAACAGGTAACAACTGCCTAATATGTACTGGGTTTCCTTTGGGGGAACTGTTTTGCAACTAGATAGAAGCAGTGAATTATATATTTAGTATATTATGAATGTACTAACTTGTTCACATTAAAATGGTTAATTTTATGTTATGTAAATCTCACTTCAGTTAAAAAATATCTGTAGTAGAGGAGAGGGGTATACCAAGAGTTGACTACAGAAAGAAGCTAAACACCCTTTCTTCAGAAAAGGAGAGGGTTCTTTGTTTCCTGCAAATTCACCCATGAGGCAAGGAGCAGAAGATGCCACAAAGCATCAATATGCACAAGTGTGGGGAAATGGGAAAGTTGATCATCGGCCTTCATGCCAGCTACCTTGAGAATGGTACACTGTTAGTGGCTGAGATAGGAAAGGGCTTTGAATCAGACAGTCCCATTTCAAGCCCCAACTCTGTTAGTTACTGGTAGAGATTTGGGGGGTAATTTACTTAACTATTTTATCTGTTATTGTTTCTACTTATCCAGCATATACAAGCTAATGTTATGACCTGATTATTGCCATTACCTTTAAGTTCTTTGCTTGCTGTTCCCTCTTCAGAGGTAACTGCTATCTTAAATCATTTGTGATCATTTTCCTTTTTAAATCTCAGTATTACTGAGATGTTTACTTGACATACAACACATATGAGTTTGAAGTGTCAGTGCAGGAATTGAAGGCTTTCGGGGTCTGATTTAGCCTTGTTTCTACTGGCTCTTACCCAGTGTTCACTGTTTCTATTTCCAACTTCCACTCACTCTCCCCCACTTCTCTCAGTCTCTCTCCTTCTCTTTCCCCTTATCTCTCCTACCTGTTTTAACTATGAGTTTATTTCTTGCAATTTGTGGGGGATGCTTTAAGGCTTGGGTTGAAGGTTGGGGTCATTCACTTCTGCTCAGTGCGTTTGCACTGGAGCATTTTAAACAATTTTCAGCTTGAGGTTTTTTGGAACACAAAGGTATTATAAGTTTGGCCTGCCAAATTGTGTGCTCATTGAGTTGTCAATAATCATTTTTTAAAAGGCTCTTCCCTGCTTCACAAAAACTCAAGACCAGCACATTTCCTTGCAGATTCAGGAGTATGGTGATTTAGACACCATATAATCATTCAGGGCACTAGCTTTCTGCGGACTTGTGGCTTCCCTGTTGACCCAGAAAGTAAAGAATCCACCTGCCAACGCAGGAGACCTGGATTTGATCCCTGGGTTGGAAATATCCCCTGGAGTAGGAAATGGCAACCCACTCCAGTATTCTTGCCTGGAAAATCCCATGGACAGAGGAGCCTGGTGAGCTACAGTCCATGGGGTAGCAGAGTCGGACACAACTGAGCAACTAACACTTCACTTTTACTTTTGTGGACAACTTCCTATTAGACTCCTCACCTAAGCAAGCTCTGGGTTTTGACCTCTCTCCCAGCCAGGGCCATATTTGCAATTGTCCACTGCACAACTCTAGGAAGTACTTTTCATGTAGACTTACATGTAGTCTATATGACACGGGTGGTGGCCCTGTCCTCATGCCCACAAAGTGGTAAAAACTAAAGCTCAAGTTCACTGGGTTTACAAAATGGCCTTGAGGTGAAAGTTGCGTTTAGTGCTTTGGTTTTAAATTTTTATAACTGATAGAACTTAAATGAACAAAGACAATATAAATCCTCCCTTTTGAATCCTTTAAAAGGCAGGATCCTCAATACTTCAGGAATTGAACTGGCTTGCCAATCATCACTTCAACCAAAAATATCTACCACTTGCCCCCGTTAAAGGAGACACAACATGCTAAGAGGGTGCTTACTGGTTTTCTTTGTTTATTTTTAGATATGGACTTCCCAGTTGCTCTCCAGCCCACAAATGCAAATGAGAAAACACAGCTAATCAGAGAAGAACCTCGAAGTTACTGTACAGACTCTTAATACTGAGCCCATTGAGGGGCTACAGTACCTCCTCTTGGTTCAGCCATGTCTCCAGGTGGTCTTGTTGAGGGAGGGGAGGGGACATGAAATGCTGTGAACTTTTCCACATTTGTATTTTATCTTTAGGTTAAGGAAAGATGACTGCTACATAATTTTCTCAGTGTGCAGATTCACTCTTTGAATTCAATTCCTAATGGAAACACACATTCCATTTTGATGAATAAAGGCCTGAAGAGTTGTTTTATGCTCCTTGCCTGAGGTTAGACAGTTGCATTGGACAGGCTTTTTGAGCCTTCCCTTTATACGAGCCAGACCTCAGTCCTCATAGACTAAAGTTGTATTCTGAAACCAAAGCCATTTTTCATCTATTTAACTAAATGCAGTATTAACATCTGCCTTTAAATATCATCAGCAAAACATACATGAGAATTTAGGAGGAATTTCTTGTTTGTGTAGAGATTTTTTCCTGTCATATACAATATGGCCACAGAAATATTTCAAGAGGCAGGAAGAAATTATTAGGTAAAGACAAATCATATTAAAGTATAGTTTTGAAAGATTACAAATTATCACTTACTGAAAACTAACAAAACCAGGAAGAAAGAAGTTTTCTGTGTACTTTTATTTTATTTATTTATTTTTTTTTTGACATTTCAAAGTTTTATTTGTACTTTATTCTTATTTCTGTTTCCAGTCTATTTTCTCATTTCTTTACATCCCTTCATTGACAGATTTCTTAAATATCTCTACCCATTGCTTCCCAATTCTCACCACCCTCTTGTTTGCTGTCTTTTAAAATCTGTCCTCTAATCTCAACAATCTTTTATGAAACCCCTTTCTCAAAAAGTTCCAGTGTGATTATTGCACTTCAGCTCTGGTGGGATTTCTTAGTCCTCATTTTTCTGTGTCTCTACAGCATTTCATCCCCTTCCCTTGCAGAAAGTCTTTTCTCGTTTGGCTTCTATGACATAGCAACTCCCCCTCCTTTCGTCTGCTCTTCTGTTCTGCCCTTAAATGCATGACTGTTGGGTTCTCTTCCCAACACTCTTCTCTAGGTCATCATTTTCTTTTTTTTTTTTTCATTTATTTTTATTAGTTGGAGGCTAATTACTTTACATCATTGCAGTGGTTTTTGTCATACATTGAAATGAATTAGCCATGGATTTATCTGTGTACTTTTAGATGGGCATAAAAACAATAACAGAACTTCAGCCCTGTGAAATGTTGTAAATGATCCCAAAAAATCATTCTGGGCACAAAACAGCCCCAAACAATGTGTTTGACAATTTCAAGTTAAAATATTTTTTGTCCAACAGACTTAGATTAGCCACACTAAGAAAAAGAAACACATGAGGTAAAGGACAGAATTCTAAATTCTATAATTTAAATTTAAAGGCCTATCACTTATCCCATTTTCAGCCGGATTAATAACAGTGACCAGAAAATACTGCCCATGTTGAACATCTATGCTCAGAGGTCATCTCTGCATTTACTTGATTCTTATATTCATCAGGTGGTAGAAGCCATATGCTATTTCTAAAACAGTAAGCAGCAAGTGTTTATTTTTTCCAGATCTTCCTTAGTTCTTAATGTAATGTTGCATTTTTCAAGATCTTGTTATGTTTTTACATAATATTGCATGCAATGCCATTTCCTTCTTAGTTTCTTATTCTACCCTTCCCCCCACCAAACTACAGTTAATTAAAGTTAAATATACATTGTAAGTGAGAATTGGTGTTATAGCTCTGACAGTTCTGACATAATTAAAACTCTACTCTAACTCTTGTGTTACTGGAACTTTTTTTTAATCAACATAATTAAGTACGAAGGGCCCCAGTTTGAAATTTAAGAACCGGTTCTAACTAAGCACTCACAAACTAGCCCTGTGATCAAGTGAGATAAGAATGATACGGCTAATCACTCTATGACTCTGTTTTCATACTTCTCTGTTTACCTTCCAAATTGTTGCAAGACCAAGTGAAATAGATGAAGTGAAAGAACACCAAAAAGTCAAGTATTTAACAAGTTTAAGATGGTTTTATGAGTTTGTATATGTTGATACACAGAGACAAATGTGATGAGACTTCTGTATATAAACTCTCTCACCCAACAAGACCCATGAAAATACCCAATACTAACAGTCCAGTGACCAGCAGGTGCTCAGAACTATACTCAACACAGGAGTAACTTTCCATCTGAAGGGAACAATGAGATGAACAGCCCCACCTGTGAGTACTTGGAGCCACTACTTTTCCTTCCTGAGGTCTCTAAGCAAAACAGCACTCTTGCTGTTGAATAGTAACTTACAAGTCACAAAACTCATCTTCTCTTTCTCCCCCTGACCTCACTTTTCCTTCTCACAGAAAACTTTCTACTTCTACCCCAGCTTTCCCAGAGAGCCAGTACAAGAGTAGTTTTGATGAAAATAGGTCATGAATTAGAATCCTGATCAGATGTGGAATTAAATTCCTGGAGGTGTTCTGGCCAATGTTTCCCACATAGGGCTAGTTTTTAGTTACAGTGCTGCATGGCAAATGTAAGCACATAGATGTCTGTGAGTGAGGGAATGAGTTCTACAGGATGCCCCTTAGCTTCACAGGCACAAGGACCAACTCTCCATCTGAGGAGGGGCCACATAAGCGTCTTGTGGAGTTGCCATCTGGAATCGCCTGCTGTTATTATGAATCCACAGCATCTTAGCAGAGAAGCATCAAGGAAAAAGGGACATGCTGACTGTGATCCTCAACAATGATCCCAGTTCATGCAGGGTTAAGTGAACTGCCCACTTCAGTGGCTCACAACCTAATCCTGGCCTCCAGGCTATAAGAGTAGGGGGTTTCATGAATCAACCATTTACTTTTTTGCTGTCTTACATTTGTTGTTGTTCAGTCACTCAGTCATCTCCGACTCTTTGTGAGCCCATGAACGTCATACAGTCCATGGAATTCTCCAGGTCAGAATACTGGAGGAGGTAGCCTTTCCCTTCTCCAGGGGATCTTCCCAACCCAGGGATTGCATTGCAGGCAGATTCTTTACCAAATGAACCACAAAGGAAGACCCTCTGTCCATGGGATTTCTCTGTTAGTTTGGCAGTCAAACCTCTGACCCAATTTTAGATTTTTTTTTTTAAATTTCAGCAGCCTGCCACCCCTTACTTCTCATGGGTGAGAAGGCAAATGTCCACTTCCAGGGCAACAGTCCTCAATGCAAAGCAAAGAAAGACCTTTATGTGACAATCACAAGTCCTCCTCTCCAAAACCCCTCTTCTTCTGACCTGAAGCCCTCCTTAAAACCTAAGTAACAGTCATCTTCATATTATTCCTGAGCAGTTCTAGACCACAAAAAGCCAGAAATTTAGATTAAGTCACGGAAAACCAGCTTATGTAAAGCAAAGTTATTTCCAAATTGTAGGTGGTTCACATTAGCAGTGATTTCAAAACTACATCTTAGGGTCGGCATTTGTATCTGTATTCTGCACCATGCTAAAATATGAAGAGACTGCTAAATACTTGTTGACTAACTGATCAGTTCTCATAACATAGACCATTTCTGAGAAAAGCCTTTCTCCAAAAGGAGACCTAAACATGCTCAGTGCCAGATGAAGGGTTAAGTGTGGTAAAACTTTCTGGAATTTTCATGCTATTCCAGGGCTGTCCTCAAGATGCAAAACTTAATTCCTAGAATCAAACCAGCACTTACCAGTTATTAACACATTCTGCTCATTTCTAGGCTGTCAACTGAGCTTTCTAATAGCCGAAAAATCTAATAATCAATTTTTCCCATACCTGAAAGTGCCCAGGCACATCCTTATTCCTAGGTCCAGGAAGATGGATCTTACCTACGAGGTTTTTTTTTTTTTTCTTTCTTTCTTCTGAGTAATCTGTTCTGATACCCAAATATCTCCACTCCTGAGACGCTGTCCAGATTGATGAATCTCAAGGTTTCATCTACAGTATACTTTCTTTTCTGGTGAAGAACAGTTGGGGGAAATTTTTAGTACAAATATTCACTCTGGGAATGAGATTTCAACATTTTCTTAATTGTGTTTAGAATGATCTATTTGGGCATGTATATATATTAACCATTTGGAGAAGGCAATGGCACCCCACTCCAGTACTCTTGCCTGGAAAATCCCATGGACAGAGGAGCCCGGCAGGCTGCAGTCCATGAGGTCACTAAGAGTTGGACACGACTGAAGTGACTTAGCAGCAGCATACATTAACCATTTACTAAACTGATATTTTTAGAATTATAATCACAAAAAACCAGTATTTTAAAGCTAACCTAGGTAGCTTCATAAAAGCAACAAATGAAAGCCATTAAGCAATGAAAAATTACTGCCTGTGTGTTGTTACTCAGTCCTTTCCAACTCTATGGGATCTCATGGATTGTAGCCTACCAGGCTCCTCTGTCCTTAGAATTCTCAAGGCAAGAATACTGGAGTGGGTTGCCATTCCCTTCTCCAGGGGATCTTCCCAACCCAGGGATCAAACCTGGGTTTCCTGAATTGCAGGCAGATTCTTTACCTTCTGAGCCATCAGAGAAGCCCATATATTGATTAACTTATTATTAATGGCATAATAATTTTCTATAAAATGCCTTCAAAAGTTTCTTTAATGTATTTAGCAAGGAATTTATTTTCTAACTCGATATACAGCAAACTAGGAAATTTAATTTTTAGTTACCAAAATCTGAAAGGTACACATTATTCTGAATAAGAGGATAAAGTCTTAATAGAAAATAAAAACGATTCACTTCCTTGCTTATCTCCTGCTTTTCTTAGTTTCATCTCTTACTTCTTAACCCATCCCATCCCCCAAACTAAAGGATTTGAAAGGAGGTAGAACGTATTGGTTTTTAGGATCACAGGTGTGTTTGAAGAAAGATGGTTCATTCTTTCATAAATTAAAATGTTAAGTTAACAATAATAACCAGCAGTCATGGTGCCCCCTGGTGGCTCAGTGGCAAAGAACCTGCCTGGTGATGCAGGAGACGTGGTT